GGAGGAGAAGTTGTGGATCCTCACTGACTGTGCCCATGTCCAGCAGTCACTGTGCGAGAGGCGAGAGACACCAGTGGACAGGTCTCCAGTCCATCACAGGGACACAGAGAGACAAACGAGACAAACAGCCGTTCACTCTCTCTCACACCTCGGGACAGTTACCAGTCAGTCTAACATGCATGTTTTTGGTCTGTGGGAGGAAACTGGAGTACCCGGAGAAAAAACATGCAGCACAGAGAGAACATGCAAGCTCCACCCAGAAAGGTCCTGGGCTGGGATTTGAACCAGCCACCTTCTCAATGAGAGGCAGCAGCTCTACCAACTGATCCACCGTGCCATCTTTTTTCATAGATTTATCAAAATTGGAACAAGCGGTACACCGATGTCCCCCGTCGCTGATGAATAGTGAATGTTTGTAGTTCTGGAGATGAGTGTTTTTCTGGAGTGGAACTGAACAGGAAATGAAGTGAACCTAAATGTTTTTACTGTAAGATGTTCAAGTGTGTAGGACGGGGCTATTCAGCTGGCGGCCGCAGGATGGAAACTTCAATCCGGCCCACATCATAAAACAAAAAGTGTTTTTTTTTTTTGGTTGTGGGTTTTGTTTATTGTATTTATGGAATAAAATAAGCAAATTTAAAAGTAACAGATAATTGTAAACTTTGGTTTATTTACATAATGATTGTAATCGCTGGATGTCCGGTCCCTGAGCTGTTTAGTTGAATAGCCCTGGTGAAGGAGTTACGCTGTGGAGAAGAACAGAGTTTTTTCTTTGTTTGTTTGTCCGAGGCAGCGCGGACAGGTGGATCATGGTGAGAGGGAGCAGTTTTATCCACCATCAGATGCAGAGGAGGAGCCAGAGGGTGGCCAATGGTGGCCGTTACTGCCATAGGTTAATCTTCAGCCACCCCAACCATTCGCGGAAATTTTATTTTTAAACAATATGAAAACCAGAGAGCATCACTTCTTCAAATTATCTGTGTGGCTGGTTTACATAGATGTATGGTGGTGGCCATCTTGATTTTGAAGTGGCAACCCAATTTTTGATAATGACCTTTCTTGCGCCTCGATGCAGACACACAGTAAAATAATAATAATAATGTGTTATCGTTGTATGTTCTTATACAATGGTGAAATTAGCTCTTTGCTTTTAACCCATCCACCACCAGGTGGTGCAGTGGGCAGCTATTGAAGGTGCCCAGGGAGCATTTTGGGGATGGGGTGTGCTGCTCAGAGACACCACGAAAAGTGCAATGATTAGGAATCGAATCTGGGACTTCCAGGTCCCGAGTCTGCTGCCCTGCCTCTACCCCAGTATTCAGTTAAAGCTCACTGAGGTCCAGTTACTAAGATTTCCTCCATGAAAATTATCTATTTTCATGAATTTATCAGATTGGGCACGGGTCCGGACAGAACTATCACTGGGTCCAGATCCAGACCCAGGTCCGCCTATTAGTGACCTAGGCTCTACCCCATGTCGGCCCCCGTAAAATGGAAGTTGTTGCCTATTTTCCAACTTATCGTGCTCGCAGGTTGGACGGGTGGGATTTTCAAGCAGCTGGCAAAAAAAAAAAAGAAAAAGCCTAAAATTCAATAAGAAAATTAGATATTTTAAAAGTCGCTGGTTACGCGTCAACAACAACGGCTCATCCTTTGAGTTTGAGTCTTTTACACCTGAATGATTCATAGGTCAGAGCTGAGTGACTTAAAGTGTTCAGAGTAAAAAAGAAGCCGAAGTCCAGAAAACCTTTAAAAGACGATTTGAAAGCCTGAAAAACTTGTGATGAATGAAAAAGAAAGTCTGGGAGAAAAATAAAAAGAACTGAGATGAGACGCGCCTCATTCTTTGATCAGTTCAATGATTTCATCACATCCTTTATTTATTCTAGTTAAAAAATCTATAATTTATTTGTGTTGTCTCATTTTTGGGTCATTTAAATCTAATTATTCTTCATTTCCTGCTTGTAATTTGCAAACGAACGCACGTCCAACCCCCGATGCTTCAACCTGAGAGGGAACCATAACCCCCCCCCCCCCAGTGATTTCCAGGTAGGGTCTGGTCCTTTCAAGCTGAATTTCCTTTCATTTCTCCAGTTTCTGAAGTTGCTGAGGCTGTTAGTTCATTTTGCTGATGTTAACACAAACTAACAGTCCAAAGGCCCGACGGCAGCCGAAGGTGGGCGTAGAGTTCATTACGCCACACAGAAGGAACAAACCTCCTTAAAAAGTCTAACTTGTCCCGAGGGTCTCTGTGGATTATTGCTAATGTCCACACAAAACTTCCACAAAGTGTGACCGGGTCTGGATGATGGGGCCATTTTAACAGGTTTCTTCATCCTGTGCAGATGTTTCTGTGTGTGTGTGTGTGGGGGGGGGGGGGGGGTCTCACCTGTGTTGGAGTGTAAATCGTCGTTGTCCGACTCATTGCCGTTCTGGAGGCTCATCATTATTTTCATCTTCTGCAGCTTTTGGAGCTCGGCCATGGCCGCCGCGGTCAGGCCTGAAACACGAAAACAAACAAGCTTCAGTTTCGTTTCACCGAACTGGAACATAAACTGGTCCAGTTCAGACCGGATATAATCAGTCACGGTTAGTCCTGTCGCAACAAACAGTAAATCAATTAATCACATGATAAATGAAACTTATCAACCTCTTTTTCATTTATCAGCTTTATCGTTTCTTTGTCTCTCTCTTTCTACTGAAGACACTGGACGACAAAAGACTCTACTCGGGTTCTTCACTGACCCCGCCCTTTCTCTTTAAAATCTGTTTTAACGTCCAAAATCCCGTTTTTGGACGTTAAAAGCAGCTAAGCTACGAGCTGTTGGGGAAAAACCTTCATCTTGTCGAAGCTCCAAAATTAACGGTTGAAACCCGTGCCTTCATGTAAAAAGTTGTTTTTTCTCTGCAAAATAAGCTGAAAACGTATTTACTAATTTTTTATTAAAAGCTTCGTGTGAAAAATGCTAAAGAGCTCAAACCACACAGAGCGTCCGCCATTTTGAGAACCATAATAAAGGCCTCCCTCCCATTTTTCTTAGAGACACGCTGCTCACTCCCTCACTATCCATCCTTCCTTTCAAACAGTCTTATACTGCCATCCAGTGGTTGAAAAAAGGTACTACACACAAAACAAATTAACCAACATTTCTTCTTAAATTTGACAATAATTACTAATTATTGTCAAATTTCAAACAATATTATCGTTTATCGCAATAATTTCTGAGACAATTAATCGGCCAGCAAAATTTGGTATCATGACAGGCCTAGTCACGGTCAAACGTTTTATTGATGGCACAAAGTTTTTTCTTCTACAGTTGACGAAGTGTTTTTCGTGGGTAAAGACTTGGCATCTTTTGGTGCTGAACCTTCAGATATAATCTGGACCAAATCCTGACAGATTGGAACCCATTCTTGTCCTTTAAGTGCTTGATCACAGTCCATGAACCTTATCGTCTTGTTGAGAACTCATCACAGGTTCTGTCACAGGTTTCTGGTCAAAAGTCCAAAATATCAACAGTGTTATCTTTAAGCACCTTTGGCATCACTGTCCTTGTGAGCTGGTGCTCCATCTTGATGGAAAATACGCAGATCGTCCCCAAACTGGACCTGGATTATTGGAAGGAGTTTCTCTTGGGTGATATTTGGATTCAAATCTTCGTGAAGGTGTTTCTGGACAGAACCTCTAGGCAGCACCAGGATGCTTCACTGTTGACGTGTTGACTCCTGAACAACCAGGAGGAGGATACTCTAACAGAACTTGAATGTTCTGGATGTTCTTCTTGGACAGAAGTGGCTTTTTTGCAGCTTTCCGTGTCACAACAAATCCGCTGTCTAAAAGTTTTCCCCTCACTGCGCTGCAGATGTTGAGCTCTTCTCGGTGGTAACACAATTCTGTTGCCCGTTTCTCAGGAGGAGACGGTACTGGCTCTTTCTGGACACTCTTCAATGTCCAGAAGGTTTCTTCAGTCAAACAGAAGCTCTTAGCGACCTTGTAGCTCATATTTCAGGTGCAAAGAGATTTCCTGCTTGCAAGGCCACTTTTAATACAAGGTGATGACAGCTGGCCGCTCCTCTTTAAAGGTCCTCATCACTGTTGGCCGCTCAGGTCTGATGGGTGTAGTGCTGCAGAAAAGGTTGTCCTTAGAAGGTTCTCGTCTTCACAGATTATTCTTCATCACTCCCCTGACAAAGATCTTTCTACTCTCATCACTCAGGTTGGGAGACCAGATCTAGGAAGAGCCCTGATTCCATTTATGAATAATGTAGACCGCTGGACTCATTCAGACTTTCTGCGTTGCAGGAATTATCCTGGACCCTTCTCCAGATCTGTGCCTCGAAACAGTTCTGTCTTGGAGGTCGATAGACAATTCCTTGGACTTCACGGCTTGGTTTGTGCTGATGTACATCATCAACTATATAAAGACCCTCATGTCCGATCTACAGGATCGACTCCAGTCAGCCTGAAATATTTGAAGGACGATCGGCAGAAACCAGATGTGTGTCCTGCCAGAGACCGAGTACTTCAAGTTCAAGTATTTTTATTGTCATTCGCGTCACGTGGTACATGAGGTGGAATGAAACCGTGTACTCAGAGTTCCAGTTGCACCCAATTATAACAAAAATATGAAGTATAAAAAGAAAGTATACAAGGATGTAAGATGTATACCAAGATAAACAAACAAACAATATGTTTAAAGATCTAAGATATACACTAAACACTAATAAAGTAAAACAATATGGTATATTAAACAGCAGCCCGAACATGAGTCTGAGGTGAGCAGATAAATGAGATCAGCAGCATGAGATCAGCAGCACAGATAAGTCACGTCGCCAATTAAAGTGGCGTTAGTGATTTTTCTTTTCTTAGAGTTTTTCCTTCTGTACGTTCAATTTTTGTTGTTCTATTTTTATAAATTTACACAAATTTCAGACATTCTCCTCCTTGCTGCTGTGTGTAGAATTTAGAGGAACAAAATGATCCATTTTGGAAAAAGGAAAATATCGACCACTTCCTGGACGCACGTGTAATTCAGCTGCACCTGTCCCTACGTGACCGGAATGAAATTAAAGTGGTTGGACATCAAAATATTGAGTTTTTCTTTTATTATGAAATAGACTTTTTAAACTAATAAAGCTCTTTTCATTAAATTAATATCTGTCTGATCTCTCTGCGCAACATGACGCAGGTTGTCGGTACGAAAACTGAACCATTTTACAAAACACTGCGTTTGTCACAGCTAGAACATTTAGCCGTGATCATACAGTCTCATTAGTATTAGTATACAAGTACTTTATATGTTATGATATACATTAGTATGTGTATCAGTGCAGCAGAATCAGATTCAGATGGTTACATATGTTCCAATTACATCCAATTCAAATCCACGACACACACTCATCATCATCATCATATCATCATCATCACCACGAACGTCTTCAGCGTTTTGTCTTTTCTGTCCATCGGTGTTTGATGTCCAACAACTCGAGTCAAACGTGTCTCCCATCTGACCACTCTCAGGCCCAGACAGTCGTCTCCCACGCTGCCTGTCTTTACCCATCATGCTTTGCTGCAAGTTGTGACACGTGTACCGACGGTGGAGGTCGGCTCTTGATCTCGGACCTTTTTTTTTTTTTTTTTTTTTCCACTATTTAGTCTTTAAGACACCTTGGGTCTAGTGTACGTTAACAGATGCGCACGCTGAAAAACCAAACTGACACAGAGAGAAAACGGCCTCGTTGCTGCACACACACACACACACACACACACACACACACACACACACACACACTCTTTTGTGAGTAAGATCCCCGGCTCTGTTCACTGACCTGGAACTGACTTCTATACACAACAACCAGCAGAGTGAAAGAGATGACCCTCAGTGTGTGTGTGCGTGCGTGCGTGCGTGTGTGTGTTAGCTTTTGCATTGTGCTGAGTGCGTCTGTACAGTTCACTTTCATGTATAAATGTGTGTATGAGGGTATAAAACCGTGCTCATCTGTGCATACTTTTGAGTGTGTGTGTGTGTGTGTGTGTGTGTGTGTGTGTGTGTGTGTAGGTCAGTTGGTTTTGCCCTGGTCACGCTTCACGGCCTTGGAGGAATGTCCATTACACCCTGTACAGTTGTCTGTAAGCTATAAAGAAAACAAGATCGAGGGATGATGGGAAAGAGGGAGGGCCGGGGGGGTGTGGGGGGAGGAGCCGTTTGAAATTTAATTTAAAGCAGAATGGACGGATTGATGGATGGATGGAGGGATGACTGAGAGATGAAGGACGGCGCGCAGGTTAAACCCAACGAGACATCGTGCAGGAATGGGTTTTTAATTGAGAGTGCAAACATGAGCGCATGTGACTGAATCGATTAGTATTTAGACTTTTATTGTGTTTAAATACTTCGCTCGGCTTTGCCTTCGGTGCAGTTTATAAAACAAACGTCTGCTCGGATCAATAAGCTGAATATAACAGCGTCAATAATTTGAACATAAACTGGTTTATATTACTGTTACGGAACGTAAATTTAAACTAAAACCATAATAAAGTCGAGACTCAGGATTAATCACATCAAACTGCTTAAAAACAAATATTTACACGTAATACCAACTGGAGAATAGTAAAAGAACACAAATATAAAAGTGTAGGTACTTTGCATTATTTAAATGTAAAACAGTTGCTTTTAAACATTTAATTAAAGACTGTTGAATCCTGAAGATCCGGTAATTCATGGAGGAATGCCTATCGCCCACCGTTATATCCAATATTAATAAGATTTTTATCATTTAAAATGACAGTTATATTTATTTTGATCAAATCTTTAAAAATAGAGATTACAATCTCTCACAATTTTGTCTCTAATGATCTGTTAGAGCTCCAAATACTCGTTAGGAATGACTTTCAGCTACTACCAAATCACATTTTAGATTAATATCTGTAAAACTGACCTTTTTATTTATTTATTTGCTCAAGTCCATGAGCTGCGGTGGCCATCTTGAATGAGGTTGACTCTGAAAGTGAGGAGTCTGTTTTTTCTGAGGGAAATACAAAATCTTCGTAACCAGTAATATGTTTTCTGTATTTAAAAATTTAATCCCCCACATTTATAAAATTATCTCATTCATAAATACAAACCGGATTCCAAAAAAGTTGGGACACTAAACAAATTGTGAATAAAAACTGAATGCAATGATGTGGAGATGGCAAATGTCAATATTTTATTCGTAATATAACATGGATGACAGATCAAAAGTTTAGTCTGAGTAAATGTAACATTTTAAAGGAAAAATATGTTGATTCAAAATTTCAGTGTCAACAAATCCCAAAAAAGTTGGGACAAGTAGCAATAAGTGGCTGGAAAAAGAAAATTGAGCAAATAACGAACAGCTGGAAGACCAATTAACACTAATTAGGTCAATTGACAACATGATTGGTATAAAAAGAGCTTCTCAGAGTGTCAGTGTCTCTCAGAAGCCAAGATGGTAAGAGGATCACCACTTCCACCATTG